AAGAAAGAACGCCATAGAACGCCTCATTTTGAGGATCTGTCGTACAAAGGTAAAGCTAGTGCCATGCCCTCACCATCCCACAGGTCTGAAAAATTGGCAAACAGCGCCTGTCCTGCCCATGTTTGTGAAAAAGTTGGCAAATCATTGTTTGAAGCTTCTCTTGCAGAACTTGCGTGCTGAATGTAGCCTTCATCCCAACAAGACACGAGACGAACATCCAGCAGCATGAAGCATGCTCAATGCTCAAAACTGAAGAAACGGAAACAAAGAGGAAACAAAGCCAGAACAAAATCATTGCACAAGTGCTCGGAGTGCTGTGCAACCGTGAGTGCCTTTGAAATGAGGTGGAACAGAACGGGCCCTTCAAGCCCAGGCGGCAAGTGTTTACACAGGAAAGAAAACCGGTGAATGTCCTGGCCGATGGGGCCGATAAGGTCACTTCAAAATGCGGGCGGAGACCGACTTGGGAAAGACTTCACGAAGACTCTCCGATATCGACCGATTCGACGTCTTTTGCAGCCCAACTGAAACATGTCAAGATTTTTTTAACATTGTCAACTCATGCCGACATATCAACCGTCCTCGAGGGCGTGTGAAAACTCTTCGGACGAAGGTGCCAAAGGCCCCAGGATTCGGTCAATGACCTTGGTTGAGTGCCATAAAAATTGCTTGGGACCCAGAAACTCAGGAAGACGGCTATAGCATGCTATAGCGGCTACACAACTTTAGTGCTTCTCGATAAACCACAATGTTGATCGAGACTTTGAACACCAAAACTTTGGCTGCTGGATCCTGCTGGATCCTGCTGGCCTGGCAACAACTTTGAACCGAAAACGCTTCGTGTCTGCAGGATTCGCACCTTCTTTCTGGTTGGCAAATCCTGGCACGACTTGTACCATGTCGGGACAGAGCAAAGGACAATCAGGACACAGCGGCACGAAGAATAAATATATAAATGAGCCAAACGAATTCAAACGATTCAAACGAACAACACGTCAGCCTCCTCAGCTTCTTGTGTCCTGTCACCTGAGTGGATTGATCGCTCATCTTTGTCTTCAAGTACTTGACACAAGTGTGCTAGTAGAGCGCATCGTATCTACCTTGATATATAGCCTTATTAATTATGAGAACATGTACTTCAAATGAAAGTGCCTTGCACTTTTGCTCTTCAGCAATGTCCAAACAAGCAACTTGGCAACACATAAATACTGGAATAGTATTGACCCTGGTGGGGATAATGGTTATGAGTTATAAGTTATAAATTGATATAAATTGTACATGTTCTGTGCAATTACTATCAATTGTAAAATAATCAATGTTTTGGAATGCATCCGTGGTTGAATATTCCAAGTGGTTGCTATTCAAAATTTCTCCTTGATCTCCTATGCGGGCACAATTGGCTTGCTAGGGCCATCGGCGACGTAACATACCATCATGACACGATACGACAGGATCTGGCAGAATCTGGCAGCATTCAATGGGGTGCCGAAGCAATGTGAGAAGCAAAAGAAAAGTGGCGAGGCATGCTGAGGCATTGATGCTAGGAACTCGGCCTCTTTTTGCCTCTTCTATTTCTTCGTCCAATTCTTCAGACAGCAAAACACTCAATGGAATTCGCAGAGCCACCTGGCGGAAACTTTAATGACAAAATGCGACGCTTCTTCACAGCCAAGGGTACGATATCAAAAGAAGTGTAAAGAAGTGTCGCCTTTTTGTCAAGTAAAAATAGCAAAAGGCGACACTTCTTTGAATCTTCGCACTTCAAAAACTGATGGAAAGGGATGTGGTTGACCTCGCCTCCCAGCCCAGAGAGATCAGGTGGCGTACAGCCGTCTGACCCTTGAAATTCCTCCCAGTTGGAATGACGACAAGGACCGATGATGACCGATGGCTGTGACATGACTGATGGATCATACTGTAATGGGTACATGATGGTTACGCAGGCATCTCGCCTGACTCCTGCAGCGTCACCGCACTCCTCAAGCAAAAGATGTGCCTTGGCAACGGTGAACACGTGGCGAACACACGGCGAACATGTGGTGTACACTTGAATGCTCCAACTAATCAACTTCAGGTGAGGTTATCCTCATGCTTTATTCTGCACCTCTCCAAACTTTCGAAGATTTTCTGATTTCCAAGCTGCAACTTCTTTGGATGCCACATGCAACGGAACGTTGCCGGCGGAATCTCGTTGCCAGACATCTGCACCATGGCGCAGCCATCTCTCCACCACATTCGGGTCATCTGCCTTGAAGAGCTTGCGGCCAAGGGAGGCCTCTGAGCCGATCAAAAAAGACCAAAAGAAAAAACAATAAACAAATATGAACAAGGATGACCAAATCTCAAAATATAGTCTATGTCAGTCCAATAATTGTAAACGTCATTGTATATCAATGTACATCATATATTGAGCACATATAATATATTAGTGTCATGAATATATGCTACGGTCTCTGCTTTGAAACTCTACAGCCGCTGTCTAGTTGTGGAATCCCTCTGTTAAAATTTTAACATGTCTGCTCTGCATGGTCGCCTGTGCGCGGCTCTTTTCGTAGAAAGCTACTTGAGAAGCCGTCACACGAGAATTCGCCAAGAGCCGCAGCAGTTGATCCACCTGCAGTCACAAAGCAAAGCATGTGATGCACGTGATGCACGTGGTGTGGTGTCCGAAGATTGACAAGGTTGAAATATGTTGAAATGACCGCCGAAGGCGATGTTTCAAGGCGAAAATGCAACGACTTAACAACTGACAGGCCGGCTGCCTGAGGAGCCATGTCCTCTTTCTTTGGCCCTCTGCACAAACAAACATCCTAAGATACTGCCAAAAACTCGGCAAATGTCTAAACGAATCTCACCATATCTGACCCATTCAAAAAACTTCTCCAACTCTTGTCGAGCGCCGAAACAGAAGAAAACATGATGTGCTTTTCAGACATGCACACTTTTGCGCCGTAATGTGATTGGGAGAAAGCATTTGGAAAGATGCATGAAACATCATGAAACCAACTTGCTGCAATTGTGACAGAAAAAACAAGGCGTGGTCTTACGTCTTGGCACGTCTTGGCACGTCTTGGGACCGGACCAAATGGCCATGGCGACGCCGGAATCGGCATCCCCAAACGGGGGAGCCTTCCAGCGGTTCGCACTCCTTCCAGAAGTGCAGTGTCTCTTGGACATGTCTTGCTTTAAGCTTTACCAAGGGCACAAGATGCACAAGTTCCAATGTGAAGAGATGCGAAGAGATGCGAAGAGATGTGAAGTGATGTGAAGTGATGTGAAGTGATGTGAAGTGATGTGAAGTGATGTGAAGACTCAAGTCTACCACTGCTGTACAAAAAGCTAAAATGATGCCTCTCCTTGACCTCCAATTGTTCCCACATTTGTGGCTTTCCTTTCCTTGACGTGCATCCTGCAAGAGCTTGAAACACGTCAGTTTCAAAGGTTTCAACGTACAGGACTGTGGTCATCACAACCTGCTTTGAAAGGTGAAAACAGGACCAAGAGATACCAAGACAACCTGGTTCTGCACTGCTGCATCCACAAAATCTATGATTCACATCCCCTAGTGACAAAAACAGCCCCAGCCATCCCCTACCCGGGAATTGTAGCTTATGAATTTCTGTCTAAATCGCCTGGAAGATTCTGGAAGTCCAGATCCAACAGGAGGCTTTAAAAATATAGATATAGACTTTACTCAGCGACCGGATCGCCATGTTTATGCAGAAGCGCACAAGCTATCTCCAGGTCTGGCCATTTGCAAGGTCATTCCATGGCATCTTGTGCCTTTCTATCCTTTCTTGTGCTCGTTGTCTCAAGCCTACATTGTGCCATGTTGGGGGCCGTCATGCCTGTACTGAAGCTATGTTGCGCCTCGGGAGGCAAATTCAGTTCAAATGAGTTTCTCGTATTTTCTCGTTGCCTACAAGGCCTGTTTGATGTGTTTTTATATCTTTTTAGTACCACTAGCCATTTTGCAATTGTTTGCGTCTCCCTCCGTCTTTTTTGCACCGGGGCATTTTTGACCAATGGCCTTCTGTTCGCCCAGAGTTGACCCATGTTAAGCCTGTATTGAATAAATTGTTGCCCGCTTCAGGACGCTTATGGGTCAGGTTAAGCCTTCAATCGACAACTTTCAGCGGTTTCAAACAGCATGGAAAACCACAAGGTTCTCGAGCTACAGCTATATTATAGTGCTTTCAATGCAATCCCCGCGTCATGATATCATGATGATCATGATCAACCCTTCTTCAATCAATCTTGAAACACTTTCATGCCCCACGACTTTGCCACGATGCCTTTGCATAGCTGCATCACGCTTTGGCGCTGACACAGATCGATGGATATCGACGGCGAAGGACAGAATTGGATCTGAAACTTTCGTTGAAAATTGCGCCATTGTGACGGTGCCACCCCTGTGCTGCTTCCCACTGCAACATCTGCAACCTTCAACTTCTTTATCCCTATAGGTTTCAGGATTCTGCAACCGGCCCCGCCAAGCGAAATCACTTCTCCTCTTTGGGTGGCAGATCGGCAAACACATAGGGCCTAGGATGCAAAATGCCAACACATCCAACTCAATTCTTGTATATTCTTGTCGAGCGCCGAAACAGAAGAAAACATGATGTGCTTTTCAGACATGCACACTTTTGCGCCGTAATGTGATTGGGAGAAAGCATTTGGAAAGATGCATGAAACATCATGAAACCAACTTGCTGCAATTGTGACAGAAAAAACAAGGCGTGGTCTTACGTCTTGGCACGTCTTGGCACGTCTTGGGACCGGACCAAATGGCCATGGCGACGCCGGAATCGGCATCCCCAAACGGGGGAGCCTTCCAGCGGTTCGCATTCCTTCCAGAAGTGCAGTGTCTCTTGGACATGTCTTGCTTTAAGCTTTACCAAGGGCACAAGATGCACAAGTTCCAATGTGAAGAGATGCGAAGAGATGCGAAGAGATGTGAAGTGATGTGAAGTGATGTGAAGTGATGTGAAGTGATGTGAAGACTCAAGTCTACCACTGCTGTACAAAAAGCTAAAATGATGCCTCTCCTTGACCTCCAATTGTTCCCACATTTGTGGCTTTCCTTTCCTTGACGTGCATCCTGCAAGAGCTTGAAACACGTCAGTTTCAAAGGTTTCAACGTACAGGACTGTGGTCATCACAACCTGCTTTGAAAGGTGAAAACAGGACCAAGAGATACCAAGACAACCTGGTTCTGCACTGCTGCATCCACAAAATCTATGATTCACATCCCCTAGTGACAAAAACAGCCCCAGCCATCCCCTACCCGGGAATTGTAGCTTATGAATTTCTGTCTAAATCGCCTGGAAGATTCTGGAAGTCCAGATCCAACAGGAGGCTTTAAAAATATAGATATAGACTTTACTCAGCGACCGGATCGCCATGTTTATGCAGAAGCGCACAAGCTATCTTCAGGTCTGGCCATTTGCAAGGTCATTCCATGGCATCTTGTGCCTTTCTATCCTTTCTTGTGCTCGTTGTCTCAAGCCTACATTGTGCCATGTTGGGGACCGTCATGCCTGTACTGAAGCTATGTTGCGCCTCGGGAGGCAAATTCAGTTCAAATGAGTTTCTCGTATTTTCTCGTTGCCTACAAGGCCTGTTTGATGTGTTTTTATATCTTTTTAGTACCACTAGCCATTTTGCAATTGTTTGCGTCTCCCTCCGTCTTTTTTGCACCGGGGCATTTTTGACCAATGGCCTTCTGTTCGCCCAGAGTTGACCCATGTTAAGCCTGTATTGAATAAATTGTTGCCCGCTTCAGGACGCTTATGGGTCAGGTTAAGCCTTCAATCGACAACTTTCAGTGGTTTCAAACAGCATGGAAAACCACAAGGTTCTCGAGCTACAGCTATATTATAGTGCTTTCAATGCAATCCCCGCGTCATGATATCATGATGATCATGATCAACCCTTCTTCAATCAATCTTGAAACACTTTCATGCCCCACGACTTTGCCACGATGCCTTTGCATAGCTGCATCACGCTTTGGCGCTGACACAGATCGATGGATATCGACGGCGAAGGACAGAATTGGATCTGAAACTTTCGTTGAAAATTGCGCCATTGTGACGGTGCCACCCCTGTGCTGCTTCCCACTGCAACATCTGCAACCTTCAACTTCTTTATCCCTATAGGTTTCAGGATTCTGCAACCGGCCCCGCCAAGCGAAATCACGTGCTTTTTTTTTGGGGTTCTTTTTTCAAAAATGGATCGACTGCGCCAAGCACATGTTTCTCCATCATGTCTGAATATATTTCTATATGTTTCTACATGTTTCTATGATACCCATCCGGTGAAACAAACTTCGAGCCAGGACGAGTTTCACCAGAAATCACCTGAGTCCGATGAGTTGATTGAAAGGAATCACGGAAAGGAACGGCATCCGCGGCATCTCAAACTGCACAAACCGTCTCAAACAGTCAGTCACAAATTGCCAGTACAGTTGCCAGTCACAAATTTCACAATTCACACAGCCTGCAAAGCTACTGCTAATTATTGCTACCTGTAGCTTTTCTTCTTTTCTTGTCCAGATGTTATCCGGTAGCAATGGCCCTCTGGCCCTGTGTTTGAAGACCGGCAGTCGCCGCACGGCCAAAACTGGATTGGGATTGGGATTGGATTATGTGTCATTGTGGGAATCCCAAGTTCGGAAACTGTCTGAATCGAGCTTGAGAAGTACAATGCATGTCGGGGATCCCCACTTCTTTGCGACACACCAATGTGTATTCCTTGAAACGTCAATTTTTTCGATTAGAATTGATCACAACACATTCGAAACACTCAACTGATCCTCTGGCAGGCCGAGCTGGATTCAAGACACACGCCAGATTCAGAGAAAGAATGGTCAAGAGATGTGGTGTGGCAGCACTGGGCAACGGAAGGCAGTTCATAGTATGTCAATGAAGATGTGTCCATTTTGAAATGCAAACATAAATTATCACTTTCATGTCTGGGCAAAGCTTGAGCCAACCTCTGGAATTTCCATTTCCCATGCTGCTTGATCAAAAGATCAGAAAACTGAGATGTTGTATCCCAAGAATATGAGGAGATATTCCGCTGTTCATGTATGACATAATATTACATAAAATGACCCGCCGTGTCTAAGGACACATGCACAGCGGATCTCAGGCAGTGGAGGGTCAGGACCCTGGGATTGCTGCCGGAAGGCAGAAGGCAGTTCACTGATGCTCTGGTAGCAATGCTTCCTATGCTTCTTATGGTTCCTTTGTGGCACAATTTTCAGATGCCTTCAGATGTCTTCAGGTTCTTTTTTCGTTTCATGTCAGATTTCAGGGAGCTGCCTCTGTACCATGCGCTTACACGCGCAAAGGCTGCAACAGTGCAACAAATGCAAGTGCTGCTCTATGTTTGCACAAAACTTCCGACCCTCATGGTCGCAAAAATGCTCAGGGCAAGCGAACTGCATTGCCGGTTGATTTGCCCTTTCGCCATGTGAGATTTCCAAGCCTTGGTGTTGCAAATCACAATGGCATGCACCACCCGATACAGGCAATATATAGATGTGAATAGCTTGATGCAACAGGACAGGATGCCCAAATATGCCCAATATGGGGAAACATACTGAAAAGTGCCGACATATCCTTTGAACCGTTTTGTACCGTATAGCAAAACAAATGCACATAAAATCGCCCTGACAAGCAGAGAAGACACCTCCAAAACCTGTCGCAACGTACAACCGGAGCCTAAAACAAAGGGGAAAAAGAATGAAAAAGAGATCAAACGAGAAGCCTCATGGCCTTCATTTCTTTGGTCGGCGGAGTGATGGCTTCCACCAACAGTTCCAAGTCTGAGACAACCAATTCCAGATCTTCCAGATTTTCCAGATCCATGGGCAGGGCCGATGCTCCATTGGTTGGACTGCACACGCGGAGTGCACGCATACTTTTCTTGATCTCCTTGGCATGCCCTGAGAAAGATGATGAGCGCATCAATCTGTAGGCCGTGCGGAAAGTCTGGAAATGCTTCAGCTCATGAGTAAAGTCTGGAGTGGCATACTCTTCAAAGAACTCCGCCAACAAATTGGGACACTCTCTTGCCAACATGTGACCGAACTCTCCGAACTCCTTGTGTTCGTACCTGCTGCCTGCCACTCGTGTCCAAGATTTAATGGCCTCGTGGATCCGTGAGGTGCACATGGGAGTGACGTAAAAATTGTGCAAGATTGTGCAAGCATGCATAGTGAATCATAGTGACATATGGTCACTTACATTGATTTCATGGCAATAAAGAAAAAAATGAATATGATTGAATAGAATTCTTAGAGGAATCACGCCGGCTCTGAAAGCAACATCTACGGCTAGTGGCACTAGCCTGGCAAGTACAAGATACGCAAGATAGTACAAGATACAGAACAAATCAATACAAATATGCACAAATTCCCCGACAGAAAAGTTCCATTGCAATAGTGTTGAAAGCTATTGAAAAATGTTGCAACCGTATTGCATCTCAAGGGCATTTGGAGAAGTGACAAGATCATTTCCTCCTCGAAATGTTGTGATGGGCGAGTGGATGCGCTCCACTTTGTCCAAGCGGTACGACTCGTAACATAAGCAATCTGCACGGACAGGGCCGATGATGCCTCGGGTGGAAACAGCCTCCCTCGCGACACCGTCCCACTAAATCATTACATGCCACTCAAAGACCTAGTCCAAACAAACATACAGAGAGTCAAAAGACCAACAGAGAGGAGACTTGCAACAAGCAATCACCGTCAAATCATTATCGGTATGCAATGCATCTATCACACAGTCTCAAGTAATTCAACACACCATGATTCAGTAGTGTTCCGATTTGATATCCTATTATCGAAGGAAGTTTAGAAGTCCACAAGCCGATTGGTTGTTGACAGTCCATGTGATATACAGCTGAATCAGAAATCCAGCCAGCAACATCTGTTGATCAAGGAGTTAGGCGGGGTTGGATTTGTCCTAGCTGGCTCAAGACAAGAGCAAATCCTATATGGAATAGATGCACTATGCGGCTGTTAGCCAGTTGTTTAGGGGGCGCAGCCTTCAACCCACTAAACAATGCAACGGGCGACTGTTTAACGTCAGTCTTGAGCCAAACATCAAGTCGGTAAAACCAAAATGAGTATTGCAAAGTGGCAGGTCACATGAGATGCATGTTCGTCTATTGTACAACTTGTACAACCCTTAGGAAATGTGTGATTTCACAACAATCATCCATCACAAATTCAGCCACGACCAACAATTCCGGGCTGGTATCACCACCAGTTCTGACCGGTTGCTGGCGAACCCTTGCCCGCATAATATGAACACCGAAACAAAACCCTGGTGACTGAATTCAAAAAATATGCCGAAATAGTGATCATCTGCTACTTGCGGATATTTATCAAAGGAAATTTAGAAGTCAAATTTCCGACCATATGGACCGATGGAAAAGCAAAGGTGGGAAGAGTCAGAGAAGAGAAGAGAAGAGAAGAGAAGAAAAGAGATCAGAGAAGAGAAAGAGTCAGAAGAAAGAAGATGCAAGTGCGCGAGGTAGAAAAGTCGCGAAACACTGTGTTTTTCCAATGTCTTGTGGCTCCGGAGGGTCGAGAAGTAGGCTTGCTAAAGCGGCGAGTGCCGAGCCACCTGGCAGGATGAGTGATGAAAAATTGCGCGACGTTGCGGGGGGAAGCACATTTGCAAGTATGTGGAAGTTAAAATGGTAAAAACACGCCAATGTCCGGAGCACTTTTGGCAGCTGAGGTGTGGAAAACACGCATGACGCTGTGGCGCGAAGCACATGTCCAAGTCAACAATGTAAAAGACTGGCGGGTTCGGACCACTTGTGGACATTGAGATGTCGTTCCTTGTGGCAGGTGCAAGGGGTTGTGTGTGTGTGTGCACCTTGTCAAAAGTGAGCAAAACATGAGGGTATTGTGGCAGTTTCAAAAACGATGGCAGGCGCAAAGATGCATCTCGCGTGGCAGACGCAGTACAAGAGACACGTTCATCAGAGATGTTAGGAGGTCCGGGCGCTGAGTTCCTGAGAGGGGCTGCATTTTGGAGCATCAGATCTTCAGGTTTGCTAAGATGACTTTGCGGGACAGGTGCAGCACTTCGTATGACCTGGCCGCACTTTTTGGTAGCAGGCGCAATACTCTAGACAGATGAAATAAAAAAGATCGCAAACCGCATTGGCACGAGGGCGTCAGCTCTGCACTCAACTTTGCATTTTTGAAGGAACTCTCGCTGAATTTCTTCGTTTTTGATGTTGCCGCTTTCGAAACTTGAGGAAGTCACGCAGACTCGTTTTGTTTTTGACGTTGTCAGCTTCAAGAGTTGAGGAAGTCTCGCAGGACTGCTGCGCCTCTGACGTTGTCAAGTTCAAAAACTGAGAAAGCCTCGCAGGATAGCTTCGTTTTCAAGCTTGCAGATACACAAACCGATAGGTAGATAGACAACTACAATTACAACTACAACTACCACTACACTACCACTACAGCTACAAATACAGATGCAAATACACATATCCCACGCTACGTTACACTACACCAGTTACACGACACTACACTACACTAATTACACCTAACTACGCTACACCACAACAACAACAGCAACAACAACAACAACCACAACCACAACAAACAACAACAACAACAGCAACAGCAACAGCAACAGCAACAACCACAACCACCATCACAACCACAACCACAACCAACCACAACCACAACAACAACCACAACAACCACAACAACCACAACAACCACAACAACCACAACAACCACAACAACCACGACAACGAACACGACAACGACAACATAAACGACAACAACAAAAACAAAACAACAAACAACAAACAACACACAACACACAACAAACAACAAACAACAAACAACGCACAACGCACAACGCACAACAAACAACAACCAACAACCAACAACCAACAACAACAACAACAACAACAGCACCACCAACAACACCACCACCACCAACAACAACAACAACAACCACAACAACCACAACAACAACCACAACAACCACAACAACAACCACAACAACCACAACAACCACAACAACCACAACAACCACAACAACCACAACAACCACAACAACCACAACAACCACAACAGCCACAAACCACAACAACGACAACGAAAACGACAACGAAAACGACAACAACAACAACAACAACAACAACAATAACAACAACAACAACAACAACAACAACAACAACAACAACAACAACAACGACAACGACAACGGCCACGGCCACGGCCACGGCCACGGCCACGGCCACGGCCACGGCCACGGCCACGGCCACGGCCACGGCCACGACCACGACCACGACCACGCACGACCACGACCACGACCACGACCACGACCACGACCACGACCACGACCACAACCACGACGATGCAACGACGATGCAACGACGACGGCGACGGCCACGGCGACCGCTACTATTACAGCTACAGCTACAACTACACTACATTGCACTACACTACACTAGTTATACTGCAGCACACTACAACTACAAATACAGCTACAACTACAAAGCCGCTGCATTACACAACACAACACTACACTACACGCACTACATTACATTCATTACATGACTACACTCCAACTAGCACTACATTGCAATTGCGACTGCAACTACCACTACATTACACTACACTAGGCCATGCTACACTATACCACATTACAGCTCCTATAGGTTTCCTATTTTTGAAACTTCCGCCACCGCCTTGTGCGGTACTAGTACCAGTTGCAAATTTGCCCGGCCATTCCAAAGGCGGTAAAATTGTTTTCCTTTGCCATCCTCAGCTCCTTACACCGACATTTTGTGTTCAGAGCCGAAATCAATAAAATATTAAAAAATTATTGTAAACATAGGCAAATGATACCATCAAAAACCGAAAATTGTTCACAAGGTCTCCTCTGAAACACGCTGTACGGCACAAAACAGCCACAGTTCAGGCTTGGACAAGTCTTTGTGTGGTTCGAGCTGTGCCTTTTGGCTTCATGGAGTGACTTGGTGAGGTACTGAGAAAGCTAGTGTAGCCATTTTGATTCTGTCGACCCATGGCAGGTTGGCACACGCGTATGCCATCACGCAAACTCCCTGCAGGTGTCTTGTTTTGGGGAAACTGCCGCTCCGGCTCGCCCTGTTACTCCTGGTACACAGTAGTATGTACAGCAGCTTAGGGTTCAACCTCTATTGGTCGCAACCTCATGCACCAGCGCGCTTGTAAACCCAGGCAATGGTTGATGCCAGCTGGCAATTCGACAGTTGTGTGCATCTCAGGTTGGCTGAGCGCAGGACTTAAACAGAAGAGCCTGACATGTGCAAACTTCGGGAATCACCAACGGAAAACCCATGAAATAAGAAAATGAGATGCGCATAGCTGTGTGGAACGAAGACTCATCAAATTGAAAAGATCGCTGTGTCAAAAATGAAACAACACATACATTCATTGCCTCTATCTCTTGCTGCATCGATGCCATGGTGCTCTGATCCCTTGGCATATCGACCAACCAGGCGAGGGAGGTGTTGACAGGTGGTTGCGGTGAGGCGCCGGCATGGTCCTCTGAAGCTTCAACTTTTGCACTTCCAGTCTCAAGGCCTCCATGTCGCCTTCAGGCAGCGAAAAGACCTGAATGGCTGAATTTGGCGTGGCCAACATGATCAGCATGCAAGTTGAAAGTCATCGTTCGTGCAATCCCGGGCCCCATGTTTCTCTTGCGCCTGGACATCTGGGTTTTGCTCCTCACCGAAGGATTGCGATACATGGCGTTCAAAGCAACCATCAAATGCTCACCTTAAATCCTTTGTGCTACACTGACCGTGCTGTGAACAGCACAAAGGAATCACTGCCCGAAAGTCAAAACGGTGGTGCTTTCTTGTATTGCTGCGCCCAACAGCCTCCATTTGATGCTTCAGTGGATTCATGTCAGCGCCCGGAACATGTAGGCAAGGCACCTCGAGCGTCATTGGTACCAACTAAATTGGTACGTGGTACGAATGGTCACCCAAGTAAGGTCAAATAGGCCATTTGGCCGTGAAAGTGCATGAAATCATGTTTTCAATACTTTTGACAAACCCATATTGGCTCCCAGCGCATGCAAACCGCCGTCGTTGAGCAAACTGTTTGATCAAAGTGGTTGAACCGCAACAGTCGGCTGTAATCGAGGTGGAATTCCTTGATTCAAAACAAATATGTGTTTTTTGAAGAGTTTCTTAGAGCGAACTCCAGGCGATCTTGCATGTTTTGAACAAGAAATTCCAGGAGGTCTTGTACCTCGTTAAAGATGAAGTTCAAGACTATAATGCCCACATCGTGAGAAAATAATAAGGGACCGGATAACCCCACATGTCAACTTCTTCCAATAAGCCGCAAAAGAAAGGTGAAGACGGGATGTGAAAGGCAGGAAAGAGAAAAGAGATGGTGGAGGATGGGTGTGTGCAATGTAGAAGTGGTGTGTTGGGGAGAGTCGTGTGTGAAAGTGCTGTGGGTGAAAGAGCGGTATGGGACAGGAGTGGATGTAAAGTGCAAGCACTGCGTGGGCAAGTGTGTGTCAAAGAAGTGCGTGTGAAAGAGTTGTGTGGGACAGATTTGTGTGTAAAGGT